ACTCACCTAAATTTAAAAATATTTTTTACTTTTAATTTATAAGTAAAAGAACACTATTCACGTCTCAGGAATATTTATTTTCAAATTTTTTTTTGCTATAAAAATTGCTCTACCTTAATGAATATAGGTTTTTATGGTTCTATCTTAATGAATTTAATTAAAACAAAAATTTTATTTTCAATTATACGAACTAACTTAAAACGCGTTAATGTAATAGTTGAATAGGACTCACGCTTATGGCCAGGAAAAGAACTCTTTAATTGTTTCAATCCGATGGGCAAACGTCCATAGTACGTCTAAGAACGTTCGAAAAGGTCCGTGGAAATGCACTGGACGTACCAAATGCAACAACTATTGTCCGTCCATTTTGGACCTATAAAGTACGTTCAAGAACGCCCAAAACAGTCCGTTCGGAGGTCCACAATAGACGCTCTTGGAGTGTTCGTACATTGAAATATTTTATACTTATCATCTTATTTAAAACATTTAAACATAATTTTTTTAGTGAAAATTCTTGTTGAAATTGCTTTAACTATCCTTATTTAATATATAACAAAAAAAAGGTAATTATTTTAAAGAAAATTTCGTCAAAAAATTAATTAATATAAAAAGTATGTTTTTTGATATACTACAAAAGTTGTTTATATTTACATTAGCTTTACATTTTTAATGTTTTTGTTTTCAGCGTAAATAAAGTTGTCATTTTTAAACCCAATTGGACATTTTGTGCAATAAAAAATTGGTAATTTTGTAAATGAAGTCTAGTAGAAAAGAGTTGCCAAAAGTAATGAAGAACCTTGTTGTTTCTCACTATAAAAATGGGAAGTATACTTAAAGGAAGTCACTGTCACAGATAAAAGAAATGCTTTGTATGCCAAAATCCACGGTTCAGTCTATCACAAAAAAAAAAATTCTACTGAGGGTACTTTTCGAAATAAACCAAGAAATGCCCGCCCAGTAGTTATTTCGGAACGAACTGAGAATTTGTTGGTACGAAAAATCAAGATGCAGCCAAAGCTGAGCGCTCCTTAATTGACTAAGGATTTAGAACTTGATCTAGGACAAACTGTAAGTGTGCAAGCAGTGAGACGATGTTTAAAGAAACAAAATTTTCAAGAGTAGTGAGAAAGACGTCCTTCATTTCTAAGAAGAATCGAAAAACACGTTTAGAATTTGCTAAAAAGTATGTTTCGATTTCTAAAAAGTTTTGGGAGACTGTAATTTTTACTGACGAGAGCAAATTTAATTTGTTTGGATTGGATGGACGTGTCATTGTTGGGATAAGACCAAATATAGTTAGAAGAGCAAACTATGGTAGCAACAGTCAAACATGGTGGAGACGGTGTCATGGTTTGGGGCTGTATGGCGGTTTCTGGGGTTGGTAAATTGTATTTTATAGAAACTACCATGAACAACCGTGTTTATATTGATGTCCTAAAGAAAAACTTAAACCAAATTGCTGAAAAATTGGGGTTGACTGGTGTATATAAGTACTACCATGACAACGATTCGAAGCATAGTGCTTTTGACACACGGCTCTGGATGCTCTATACACTGTCCTGGAGTGATCAAAACACCAGTTCAAAGTCCAGATCTCAACTCAATTGAGCATTTATGGTCAGAATTAGAAATTGAACTGGGTAAAATTCACTTCATTAACAAACCACAGATAAAATTGGCCTTAGAGAGTGCATGAAACTAAGTCATGAAATAAAAAAAAACTTAATACCAAAAAGTAATTTTTTTAGAGCGCATTCTTTTTTTTCTACAACTGTAGGTATAAACTTTATTTTAAAACTGATTATCAAAAATTGTAAAGCTTGTTTTCAGCTGCATTTATGCATGCTTGAAACTGCTTAACTCCTACCCTATAAACATATGGTAGCGATTTTGTAAAAACTGTGGTGGCGGTATACCTTGGAGGTAGCAAAAATTGTGTACCTTGGTGGTACCATCAAGGTACAAACTCGCTTGTTAATACTATTTTTAATATTACTAAAAAATTTTTAATATTACTAAATAAGTAATATTATAAATATTATATAAGTTAGTTATTATTATAATTAGTTTATTAAAAACTTCTTTAGTATAATATGTGTGTATTTCTTTGTTAAATTCTAATTATTTTTCTCAAATTATTACTCTTTGATAATTTTCTCAAATTATTACTCTTTGATAATTTTCTCAAATTATTAATTGAATTATTATTATAGATTATAAAACTGTGTATTAGTTAGACAAATTAGACATGATCTTTCAGTTGTCACATCCCTCTATTACAGGAGATTCAGCACGACTGCTGGAAAAACTTATTTTTCATTAGCTTTAATTACCGGAATGCAGAGTAGACAAACGCTAAATCAAAGTGAAATACTTATTATTAATAAGCTTTAACGTAGATATTTGTTATTACATTTTTCTTAATCAATTTTATTTCTTTTAATACTATAAACTAGTTTAAATTTATAATTGAATATAAATTCAACAAAAATATAAACTAATATAAAGTTTATAAAAAATCTAACTAGAAAAATTAATATTATCTCTGATGTGAAGTCTATTTATCCTATAAGAAAATATTATACCAAATTTCTGCCATGTTGAGTACTTAATCTCTTAAAAAAATAGTACCTCCAAGGTACATCATACATACCTCGAAGGTACACTACTGGTGGTTTACCTTGGCTGTAAAGTAAGCTATTTCTTAAAATTAAAAAACGGGATGAAAAAATATGTTTGGATGTTCAATAAATAATCCTAGAGTAAATAATATCTTGAAGTTAAAGAAAATATATTTTTACAGAACATATTGTAAGAATTTTTTTTATATCTGAAAAAATTTGAAAATACATCAGAGGTATATATATATATATATATATATATATATATATATATATATATATATATATATATATATATATATATATATATATATATATATATATATATATATATATATATATATATATATATATATATATATATATATATATATATATGTATATATATAATATATATAATATATATATATATATATATATATATATATATATATATATATATATATATATATATATATATAATATATATATATATATATATATATATATATATATATATATATATATATATATATATATATATATATATATATATATATATATATATATATATATATATATATATATATATATATATATAAGAAATAATTGTCTAATAAAACTTTATTGTAGATCTCTCATTTTAAAATATATACTACTAGTTATGTAAATCTTGACATGTATATATTATGTAATATTATGTAATATATACTCGACATGTATATATTATGTAATATTATGTAATATATACTACTAGTTATGTAAATCTCGACAAAATATAGAATAAAATATCTAATAAATTTATATTGCATACAAAATTTATATTGAAAAAAAAAAAAATGTAGTTCTATTATTAGTATGAAAAAGTTCGAATTTATTGATTTCAATTTTATACTGAGCTCACAAAATAAACTTTCTGAAGGAAAAATATTTTGCCTATTTGATTACGTTTATAATCTTTTTTTATTTATTAAACTTATTATTCTAAATAAAAATATATAATAGATCTTTTTAGTTAAAACATAGTTAATATTCGATAACTGTAACTAAATATTTATAGTCAAAATAAGTTGAAAAACCGAGAACTTTTAAATATGTTTTTTTAACCATTTTGAAAATTTTTTATATTCACGCATGCGTAAAAATAAGTCCAATCGACGTCCGAAAACGTACTATTTTGGACTTGGACGTCCAAGTCCAAAATGGTAGGTTTTAGAACGTCCATTAGACGTTTAAACACGTATGATTTTGGACTTGGACGAATGGACCTAAGCGTTTTGTACTATGGACGTGCAAGGACATCCTGTGCCCATTGGAAAGGCATAATGCAAAATTACCGTATCAATTTCGTCTGGTGCATGATTCTAAATATTTTGGTATTTATATTTAGCAAAAAATAAAACTATCATAAATAGAATTTTCATTCATAACTTTAAAAGGTTGACAATGCTGTTTTTCTAGCGCTAACTAAAAAAATATTGAATTAAAATATAAGTATAGAAATAGTTGGTGCAGAATAGACTTACCAAGATCCGTATTTTACGGGTTCTAAATGCTAGTATGCATAAATATCTCAGAAAGAAACTCTGTAATTTAGTACAAACAGGCTCAACTTGGGAATTGGATGAAAAGACTTCGTTTAAATAACTTTATTACAAATAACCATAGTTTAAGTATTTTTAATAATATATAACTACATAACTAAACTTGAAATTTTTTAAATATTTATTTTGTATGATTTAAATTTAAGTTAAAATTTTGTGATAATATGGGCTGCTTAAGGTTTACATGATCTTGAAGACATATTTATGTGAAGAACAATTATTTAATAATAATTTTGGGCCAAATATATCAAAACATATTAAAATATTTATCGATTTATGCGTAACATCTGTACTTTTATACCAAGTTTTCTCCGTTTTGCAAAACTGTAAGTTACAGCCGTTTTGCTCTGACCTCGCAAATTAGTACAATACTAAACAGAACATAATAAAACTAAAGTTAGTTCAATATTAAACAGGATGCATGTTGACTTTTGTATATGGCTAAAATTAATGAGAAAATTTCCCCCAAAATAACTGCTTTAAACATTGACAATCATAAAATTCTTATCTTTAAAAAGCATATGATTTAGTCTATTTAAGTGTTTGTTAACATCAAATAATTTTATGGAAGTTAGAAATCGAAACATACTTTTTAGCAAATTCTAAAAAAAAAAAAGTTAACTTTCCCATTTTTAAATTTTTTTTTATTTTTCACAGAAGACTTCACTGACAGTGTTTTTATAAAGTTAATAAAAACAAGTAAAAACAACCATTTAAACAATCGTTAACTATATACTTTATTTTGTACCTAATCATCTCTGGTCAGATTTATTAATTAAAGTGTTTTAATTTTTAGTTACAGGATCAGCATAGTCATTTTGCTACTGGATTATTACGGAACTATTTTTGAGATCATGAAGGAAATACACACGGTACTTTTATTTTTTGCTTATGGTGATAACGCAGAGCCCATCACATTTTGACAATCACAAATCAATGGCAAAAAGTAATTTGTTACAAAAATTAAAAGCTAAAATGTATGTATCAACTTATTTTTTAGTTTTTATCAATTGAAGAAGATAAGAAGTTGACACTAACTGTCATATCACTTTCCTATTTATTTATTTTTATTTTTTTTGGTTGCTGTTTATAATTGTATATATATGAGTTTTAATAATAGGCATTTTCAGTTAGCAAGATCATACTTAGTAATAGATCATAAGTTTTTAAGAGTTTAAATAATTTAATTTGGAATTTTTTTTGAAATAACTTTTTTTTTGGAACAGTTTATAATTAAATATTTCATAATATTATGACTAAAATTTTAATGTCACAAGTTTTATATTTGTTATTATTTAATTAAATGTTATTATTTAATATAAATTTCTTTTTTTTATTTTTTTTTTATTTTATGTTTTATTTACAGACGCAGATAAATAAACATTTGCATTAGTTTTTAAAAACCATTCAAAAATTATTTTATTTTGTTTTACTTCAATGTATTAAATTAACTTTAGAGAAATAACTCAGAAATACTAAAATCTTTATGCAATAAAAATAATTTAACTTCGGTTTTTAGATTGCTTGAGAGAAAATTTATTTTAAACATAAAATTTTAAATTATAGAAATTCAACATAAATTTTATATTTATAATGAAGAGTTTTTTTTGCAAACATTTTCAGTTAACTAATCTATTATTATTATGTTTTAAAAGGCGGTGAATATTACAAAATAAAATACGTTATTTTATAAACACTTAAATTGTAGTAAAAAAGAACTTTATTTATAATTGACTAGAAATTAAACTCTTTAATTTCAACTTTTTGGTATATAAGTCCAAACCAAACTGCTAATTTAACCAATAAAAATCCGATTAAAAAATTATTAAATGCTAGCTAAACATAAAACATTTAGCTATGAAATATATGAATACCCTTGTTTCTATCTGAACCTAAACCATAGCACCATGTCTTCAATGTGTTTTGTGTTTCAACCAATTTTGAAAAGCTGGCTAAACATATATATAAAAAAAAGTACAAATTTGTATACAACACAATGAATATAAGGTAAATTAACGTTGTTAACTCAGTTTTCTATATTTTTGTTTGTCCTTTTACCAGGTGTTGCACTTTTTTAACATCATTTTTGTGATTTTGTCAGTTGTTTATACCTCAAAGTGGCTTAAAAAAATGGTTAAAAAAATTAGTTTCTGCATTTTAAAGATAAATGTTTCTAAATAACTTTAAATGAAAACAATAATCATTTTTATCAACAAATGCACTTCAAAAAATTGTAAAAAACTTTTTGCTTTGCTGAGTCAGCAAAAAATTTAAATATAAACACACTTTTAAAAATTTATTTTTAACTCCTAAAATATAAATCGAACGAGCATAAAAATTTCATAATATTTTTATGATTCAAACACCAAGGGGCTGTAGCAGAATTTTTTTAATAAAAAATTGTACATCAAAAAAAATAATTGTAATGGAGGCAAAATAAATATCAATTTTTTATTTAAATAATTATTCCAAACTTAAAATATTATCTTTACAATATGTAATTCTGCTACAGTGAACAAACATTATCTTAACTTTGTGTAATTCTCAAATGTTTATTATAGAGCACACCCTGAAAACTTCAGGTTGTTTGTTTTTATACTTTTTAAGAAAACCTATTCTAAGTTTTGTGCAATATTGAAAAACAAAATCATTATGTAAAAAACATATTGTAAAAACATATAAAATTATTATTTATTAACATATATATATATATATATATATACATATATATATATATATATATATATATATATATATATATATATATATATATATATATATATATATATATATATATATATATATATATATATATATATATATATATATATATATATATATATATATAATATTTTCTTTTAGAGTAGTATTTTCCATTTTCAACATCCTTTTATTTCTCTCTTTTTGACACCTGTCAGCATTTTTCTGTCTTTTTTAAAAGGTTCAGAAGACTTTCTAACTAAATGGCAATGATAGTTACTCTCTATTTTACACGAACCATAATTACCAAGATATCCAAATTCGAGATTTAGAATCTCAAAAACTTTCGAAAAACCAGACATTCCTTCATTAAAATGAATAACAGCTTAAGCTACACCAATATCTAAAACTTCTTCGCAAACATATAGATCATTAGGGCACTTTTTCAAAACTATTTGATTAAATGCTTCATTTCAATTTTGGTACTACCATGTAGACATCGTTTTAACAAATTTTCAGAGCATAAATTAATAAAAATTGATTTTATTGCATTATGAATAGCTAATTTATCTGTTTAGAGAAGATATATAGTGACATTTACTTTCACCAATTCAGTAGAGAAAATTTAATATAGTTGACTAAAACGACAGGAAATTGACGTTTGCTAGGGGCATTGCTATAAAAGCTGAACGACTTTATCTTAAAAAAGTGGATATTTCTCATAACATTGAGTTTGAATAAGTATAAAGATATATATTTTCTGAATCTAGAACAAATTTGAAATAAAATAACTTTTTTCGTGATTTTTTTATATTTTTTAATCTTAGAGCCACTTTAAGAAATGTCGATATATTCACACTATGCATATACCAATTCAAACCGCGCTTTAAATAGCAAATCAAAATTTTGTTTTATAAAATAAAAATGATACATATACCATTATATTGAAAGTTGCATCACGTAGTGGAATACTTGTGTAACCATTATTTCAAAAACAGTGACTAAATATCACAAAAAATTTAAACGAGGTAAAGGTAGCTACAACCTAACAAAGTTTAAACTAAAACTGCCATTTATTCTTTACATGTAAACAATCAGACTGAAATTTTATCCAGAGTATGGTGTGGCCATAGGCTACATTTGAATAAATTTTTTATCAATTTTTAAGGAGTGGTTCTAATTCTAATGCTGTTTTATTTTTAATGCACTATAAAGTCTAAGTTTCATACAAATTAAAAATATAAATTAAATTTTTTTAAGCTAAAAAAATTATGAGATTTCAAAATTTTTATTACAGGGTAATAAAAATTTTGATTTGTAGGTGATCTTTCAATATAGGTGGCATTCTTGGTCAGCTAGATTGGCAAATTCCAGAATCCATAAAAATTGGTGCAGCTGTAGAACAGTGGTTATAGTTTTTGCTCAGAAGCAAGTGGTTTGAAGTTCAACGTCATTTCGAACCTCGAATTTCAATAGTTGTTATTAAATTGTGATTTTGGCTGTTGCTGGGCCATTTCAACACAATAAATTTTTTGCTCACGAAAGATGACATTAAATGTTTCCATCTAGAACAACCTGTGCCATCTTAATTAATGAAAGTAAATTGATCAATTTCAAAAAAGTGTATAGATTTTTGTTTAACATCTTAAACAGTGTTCAGATTTTATTTTTTTATGTTTAGGATGTTCGTATTGTGTTCAAGTCATTTTAAAATCTATTTAAAAATGCAAAATTTAGTCTTAAACTATATTGTACAAAATTACAAACAAAAAACTTCAACTTTGCCAACCATTTTAAAAAAAATTTCATTAAACTTTCCTTTGCAAATGTTTAAACTTGTGAAACTTCATTTTACCTGACACTTTTTGAATAGGTTCACTAATATCTTCTTTGATATTGTTAAGATTTTCTTATGCTAACTTTTTTCTAAACGTTTTCTTTTAAATTAAAATGTATTGAATAGAGTTTTAAATATATATTGTATGCCTTTTTATTAAATCAAAATATTTTTATATTTATCTTTGAAAACAATCATATGATTTCAAAAAAAAAAAAATAACAAAAACATATTATTCAAAATTTAAAACAGTCTCAAACATTTTAAAACTGTTTCCAAATTTCTTTTTTGCTTTTGTTAGGATTTTCTTGAGCAAATACTTTTCTTGCGGTATTTTCAAAATTGAAAACAATCTTTTATACATTCTTATAATATATTAAAATAATTTTGCAGTTTCGTTACGAAATGAATTGAATTATAAATTTTAATTCAATTTTCATAAACAAAAGTATCAACCTAAAACACTTTTCTTGTTTAGCACTTGGTTAAACAATATATATTTTAAAATAATTAAACAATAAATATTTTAAAAAAATATATAATAAAGCTAAATAAACAATATATAACTTAAAATAATTAAAACTTGATCAATAATATGTAACGAAAATAAAAAAAAATAAAAAATAATCGTCATGCAAATTTAAAAAATATTTTGATTTTAGCTACACCTGAAACTTTTTTAAATAGTTCTTTATTTTCTTTTTTTGCAAATGCGGTGATTCCCTATTTCAAAGATTTTTAGTGGTTTTTTGAAAAGGGAAAATAATAATTATACTTCTTTGTCTATTTAATATATTTATATAATTTTCTTTTAAAATTAATTACTTTAAACGTCGTTTGCAGATTGTAATTTAAATGATTTTTATAATTATTATTTATTAAACATTATTCGAAAGTTGACTAAAAATTTATGGAAGAAAACCTAAAAATACTACTGAAAAAAATGTCATGCAAATTTTAAAATAGCTTAGCCTTTTATTTTGTCAAAAACATTTTGGTTAAGTTCTCAAGTGTCTTTTTTATTATTGTTAGGATTTTCTTTAGCAAATACTTTTTATGTGATTTTATCAAAATTGAAAACAATTTTTTATATATTTTTTACTGCGTTTGAATTTTTTTGATAAAGACCTTTATTTCCATTCTTGTAAACAACGGCATATCCTTAGGCAAACATTTTCTTGTTTTTTATTTTGTTTTTCTTTAATTCAAAAATAACATTTTAACTTCTTTGTCATTTAAAATATTTTTTTTAATTTTCTTTTAAAATTAATCACATTTTTTACAACTTTTAAACGTTGTTCTTTATTAGCAGTTTCGTAATTACAAAAAGTGTAGAATATTACAAAAAATATAATATAAATTTAATTATAAATATAAATTTGATTATAAATATAAATTTAGCTACATAAAATAACTAAAAAAGATAACTAAACAAAAAAAAAACTTTCAAAAAGGTTTAGTATAGAAAATAAGGAGTGTTTTTGCTTTCTGCTGCATCCAGGAAACTTTATTTAAGTTCATTCGATTTTTTTTTTGTAAATGCTGTGAGAGAAGTTTTTTTTAGTTGATTTTTAAAATGTAAAGTTATTGATTTTTAAACATTTTCATAAAGTTCCCAAATTCTTCTCAGATACTGTTTGGATTTCATGTAGCAAATACTATTCTAATCATTTTTTTCCTTTTTATTGTTAAAAATATATATATTTTTTTTAATAAATAACATACTTGCGCTTTTTTTTAAACACTTCCTCAAAGTAGTAAAGTGCTACTTTAAGGAAGTGTAAAAAAATATAGAAGCAATATATAATTTATAAAACATGATATATAACTTATAAAAACATTTTTTAAATACAAGATTTAGTCTTAATAAACTAATTATACAAAATTGCGAAAAGCCTCATTTACATTTAATTTTTTAAAAGCAAGCGCTCTCACTACTGCGTCACGGTAAGGAAGGAGGCGTGAACTTCCTGGTTAAATGCACTTCCGCGGTGCTCTGTGACAAGACCAGAAGGTCTTCTTGGGGCAGCTATATAACTAAAAAAGATAAAAAAGTTTGGTAGAACATTTTATAAATGTTTTTTACATTCCATATTTGCACATGTCGAAAAACTTTATTTTCTTCGTAGCTTTTTTTTTTAATCAAAAATAATATTGTTTAATTCTTCAAGTAAGTAATTGTTATAGTTTTATTTAGAAACTAGTTTTAGTTGTTTCAGTTTTAAAATTATAACAAAGTTAAATATTGAAAATTATTAAAAATACTGTATAGTTAACGAAACAATAAACAAAACTTAAAAAACTCATTTAACAAATAACAAAAAAAATCTTTTTATTCAGAAATGCAAAAAAGATTGCTTTTCACTCTGATTGGTTATTTGAAAAAAAAAGTTTTTTTACTTCTATTACTGTTACTATAGGGATTTTCTGCCGTTTTATACTTTTTAACTATAAATCTTACACTATAACATTTATAATTTTTTATTAAATCAACACACACTTTATTGTGTTTTAATTTTTTTTTAATATAAATTTAATATAGTTTCAAAATTCAAAGTGTAACTAGTATAATTAAGTGTATTAAGCATAAGTTGATAACTCTAACAATAATATACTTTTTAAATAGCTTTTCCTTATAAGCCTCTTTTACGTAGACTTGGTGCTTTAAATATTTTTAAACTTAACATACATCTAGTTTAACAGTTTGTATTTAAAACAATAGGTGAAATTTCTCTTGAAAAATTAATAACCTATTTTGAATAATTATACCATATGTATTCTACAAGATTTTTTATAAACAACTTTGTTGAACTAAAGTCTATTTCAAAAATGAGTTCTTATTCTATTCAGAATAGCGGAATAATTCGTGAAAAGGTTTTTCAAACATTGCTGCATAGACGAGTATTTCACTTAATCAGTTTAAAATAAAATCAAAGCGGTGATTATTACACACTGTTAGATGCTGTTGATTTATCTTGTTTTAAGTGTTTCTTTTAAAATAGATCAATAAAATAAAATCTTCTTAAACACAAAATCAACTTTAAAACAGTGTAATTAATTTAAGTTAATCTTAAATTTAATTACTCTGTAAAATCAAAATCTATATTAAATAATTACAGACATTAATCATTGTCATTAATCGCTTTTTTTAAGCTTTTTTTTTTTTAAAAAAAAAAAAACTTTTTAAAACATTCTTTTTCCTTTTTTTGTTTATTTGTTTATTTTTTGTTTTAGTTTATTTATGGTAATACATGTTATTTAAGACGATCTTTGTAATTTTGATATTTTTGTAAACATATGTCTTCTTTTTTAGTTTATACTTTATACTCTTGAAAACATTTCGTAAAAAATATATATTGTAAAAAAAAACATTAAATGAAAATTATTAAAACAATGTACAATTGTTAAACAATATACAATTAACTTAAAACTCTAAGAAAAGAAAAAGTTAAAAATAACGTGGCTTTTTATTTTGTTGAATCCTTTTTGAAAAAGTTTTTTTTTTTTTTATCTGTATTGCTAATGTTCCTAATGTCGGGATGTTATGCAGCAAACTTTTTAAATTTTTATACTAAAAAATAAAAATAATATTTTATACTTTAATTTTAATATTCACAATCTTTTTTCATTTGAAATCAAATAAATTGTTACAAACTTTAAAAGTTGCTTTTTTTTAGTTATGCTATTATTACAGTAAGTTTAGAGAGTTATGAAAATAATAATTAATATATTAAAAACTAAATAAAAATTGTAAAATCAAATTTAAGAAAACAAAAAATAACTTTAAAAAAAATAATTTTTGAAAAATTGAACTTAACTTTTTTATTGATTTTCCCTTTGCGTGAAACTTCTTCTTTGTTATTGTTAGGATATTCTTCAGCATCTTTTTTCTACTTGTATTATTTTAAATGAAAATATTAATTTATACTTTTTTGTTTCTTCAAAATTCATTTTTACAGTTTTCTTTTAAAAGCAATTTTTATGCTCATAATTTGTTTAAAAAAGACATTTGTTTAATTAATTAATTTGTTTAAAAAAGACAGATTTATTTAGAACTTCTAATTGAATAAATAATGATGAGGTTAATAAACAATAGATAGTTTTTTTATAATATATGTGAACTATTTCTTCCCGACGGGCATTTGTTTTTAAAAGTTACGTTCTAAATGTATTTTAAATGTCTTTTAAACGTTTTTTGCGTAAGAATGTTTAGAAGACGTTTAAAAGACATTTAAAAGACATTTAGAACGTAACTTTTAAAAACAAATGCCCGTCGGGTTATAAATCAAAACCAATTTAAAGTTGTAAAATGTACAATAACTCCTATAAAGATAATGGACTCAAATTTAAGAAACAAAAACATATACCTATTTTTACTATTTTTGTAAGTTATGTTTTCGCTTTTATATTATCATATAAAATTAAAAACATATATCAAGTTTTGAAGTTTTCTTTTTTTTTTAAAATTGAATTGGGACAACGTTTCCTTAATTTTGATTTATAGCATTCATTTGCCGTTTTAAAAAGTCTTCTGTTTATAAAATAGTTTTAATACTTTTATCGAACGCCTTAGAGGCAGAAGTGGTTCGGTAGCTGCATTTTTAAGTGGAAAAAGCGTGGTTGAAATCTTTCCCTTGAACTTTTTTTTTAAAACCTTTTACTTTTCAAAATGAAAACATTTTCGAAGTTCAATAGTTTTACTTTTATTCAAAAATTGCACCAAAATCTCCTAAATTTTTATTTTTGACGTTTTATAAAGTTATTGATTGCATTCCGTCTTTTGTTTTTTAAATATTTTTTTAAAAATTGGCAGTATAGTATGTTTTAGTGGTCAAAGTGGTTA